GCAAACGGGAAGGGCGGGGGCGGGGGGGGGGAGGGAGAGCAGTTTCCCTACCATATATAACTTTTTGTTCTGTCCCATGACAGCTATTGACTGGATCTTATTTTGTTTTATTTTTAAAGATGCCAACAAACTCTGGTTTCTGCCAAATCTGTATGAACTCCATGTATATGTTTGATTGAAAAGATTTCTAGGATTCTTAAGTGGTTGCAGGTTGGGCTCCTAATAAGCAAAGAAGTCACTAATAAAGAACACTCAGAGCAGCTTGACAGATTTAAGAGAGGACTAATGGTCCAGAATGCAAAGTACAAAAAAAAAAAATCACTAAATACAAAAAAATGGCAAAAGACTAATTTTGCTGGTTAAAGCTGGTTGGCCTATGAGTCACACTGCTATTTTTTCATTACTCTTTGGGGCCATTCCAGTTGTGTGTGACCAAAGTCCATAAAATCAAACAGTTTAAACGTTTAAGACAAAATGGTCTATTTCAGCAGCTTCTTTCACCAGGATTTTGTGCTTTTAAATTCAAGGGATATAAAGTAGATAAAGTGACACTCAGAAATGGATAAGTGACAGGAACACTTTACAGTGAAATTGTACTGAAATGCATAGCAGAAAGCCATCTCAAAATTGATAGAGGGAGTCCTTGCTTAACAACGGTAACTGGGACCAGAATTTCCATCGCTAAGTGATGTGGTCGTAAAGTGCGATGTCACGTGACTGCTAGACTTAGTGATAGCAGCTCTGGCAGTCCCTGGTTATCATCGTTAAGTGAGGACTGCATGGGTCTTTAAGCGAGGGCCTCATGTGATTGTGACTTCTGACTTCCTGCTGGCCTCCCCATTGACTTTGCTTGTGGGAAGCCAGTAGGAAAGGTCACAAATCATGATCATGTGACCACAGGATGCTGTGATGGTTGAAAATCCAGGTTGGTTGCCAAGAGCCCTGATTGCGATCATGTGTCTGTGGGGGTACTGTGATGGCTGGAACTTCAAGGACTGGTCGTAAGTACCACTCGTTCAGCACTGTTGCAAATTTGAACGGTCACTGAATGAGTGCTTGTTAACTGAGGACCACCTGTATGAGCATTCCTGGCTGAGAGAAAATATCATTCCTTCTCAAGCTTAACCAGCAACTTTGTTTTTGAATCTCTCAAATGTATTAATTACTACAAGCAAATTTCAGTGGCTTGAGTCATATTTCATGCTAACTGTAAACCAGGATTTTCAAGTTACAACCAACTAGTATAATCAAAAACACTAAGACGAAGTCAGACAGACTGTATTATGGTTTAGCATGATTCACACCATGTGGTAATTAGTATATCAGCTTAGGATCCAAAAAACCAGGATTCAAATCCTAGAGCTATAAACCTCACTTGGGCAGTCACTTTTCTTAGCCCCATCCATTTCCTCATGACTAGAAAAGGCAGGTTGGAAATAGGTCAGGATAATAACAAGAATGATGATGGTAATGAGTTGCAAATACGCTGTCACTTTGTTGAACACTTTATTGATTTGATATCCTTAACATCAAGGCACCTGAACCATAAACTGGCCAACTATATTTGGTGCACCCATGTTAGTATTGAGGAAACTTACTCTGTGAGAACAGGTTATTGGATATCAGTCAATTAACATCTTGTGAACATAGCCCATATGAAACAGAGAAAATAAAAGCTATTCTCTTTTGGCAGCAAAGTGTCTTGGCCCAAACTTAGGCAGTAAGCTAAATCTTTATTATGGTCTTTGACCAACATGTGTCAACATGCGTACATACCTAAAATAAACAAAATATACATTAAAAATGGCAATTAAAAGAAGTTAAATGAGTTAAAGAAAGGAAGGGAAGGGGGATTTTAAAGGTATCAAAGATACACCATTTTATTGGACAATGTTGCCTCACTCTTGTAGCAGCAAGGCAAAATTTGGCAACATTATGAGTGATAGTGGTTTTATGGTCTGCTAAAAGATAGGAGACTACCACCCCCCCATCATTAAGTCCAGCCTAAAGTTAGCCAAGCCATGGTTTGTCCAACCCAACTGCCTTCATTCGCACAACCTTCCTATAATGCACTGTGCCACAATTACCCCAACCCCATTTTAAGCCGGCGTATGGTTGCACGAGCACAGCCACCGCGTGGGGAGTTTAAAACTTCATGCTCAGCCGGCCAAGAAAAGCCGAGGGAAAGGCTTCTAGCAACGCTAACGTTTCGAGAAGAGTCGCCTTGCTGCGCCTCTTAGAGCGGTCGCCAGAGGGCGCCACGGCTACGGCGTTTTGTTGGACGGCGGCGTCCCAGAGCTGGAGGACGGTGGCCCCACGCGACCTGGGCTGGGATTGGCGTGAAGTAGAGCTCCGGATTCAGAAGGAGCCCAAACTCCCGCTAGCTGCGCCTTTCGCTGCTGCTCGAGACTTTAGCGGGACGACGCGGACTCGGAGACTTCGGCTTAATCGCCCCCCCTTTTTTTATTGTTTGTGGCGGAGGAGCGGTTTGAATGCTACAAGCCGCTGCGGCGGCGTTTTGTTCTCTCCTGCCGATCCTGCCCCCGTCACAGCCGACGCGCGGGCGGCAGGCGGGCGGGCGGGCGGCCCTCCGCCTCC